GACTGGAGTGCAGTGGCCACTCCTGGCCACTGCAGCCTCAACCTGCTGGGCTCCAGCGATTCTTCCGCCTTAGCCTTCCAAGTAGCTGGAAATACAGGTGCGTGCTACCATGCCCAGCTAATTTTTGACTTATTGTAGAGATGAGGCGTTGACAAGTTGCCCAGGTGGGTCTCGAACCCGTGAGCTCAGGTAATCCACACACCTCAGCCTCCCAAAGTGCTGGGATTACTGGCAGAGCCACTGAGCCCAGCTGTATTTTCTTCCTCTATGAGTGCAACATTTTTTGATTCCACACGAGTGAGATCACGCAGGAATTTTTTTTCATTGAGGAGGAGTCTCACTCTGTCTCCCAGGCTGGAGTGCAGTGGCATGCTAATGACTACCACAGCCTCAACTGCTGGGCTCAGGTGATCCTTCCATATCAGCCTTCCAAGTAGGGGATATTACAGGCATGCACTGCCACATCAAGCTTATTTTTTCATTTATCATAGATACGAGGTCTCATCAAGGTGCACAGACTGGTCTTGAACCTCTGAGCTAAGGCAATCCTTTCACATTGGCCTCCCAATGTGCTAGGATTATAGAATTGAGCCACTGTACCCATCTTCACACAGTATTTATGTGTGTGTAACTGGCTTACTTCAGTTAGCATGATGTCTTACAGTTTCATTCATAAGGTTGAAATTGCTGGATTCTTTTAAGTTTTTTTCGCTAAATATGATGCTATTGTATGTCTATATGATATTTTCTTCATCAACACAGAATTCACAAATATTTCGGTTGTTCTCAAGCTGAGTCATTTTGAGAAATGCTGCTATGAACATAGGGATGCGAATACTTCTTTTTTGATACTGATTTTATTTCCTTTAGTTATATACTCAGAAAAGGGATTTCTGTGTTCCAAGGTAGTTTATTTTTATTTTACTTTTATTTTTTGAGTTGGAATCTCACTCTGTTGCCCAGACTGGACTGCAGTGGCATGCTCCCAGCCACAGCAGCCTTGACCTGCTGGGCTCTTGCAATCCTTTTGCCTCAGTCTTCCAAACAGCTAGAATTACAGGCGGGCACTACCATGCCCAGCTAATTTTTGATTTATTATGAAGACGAAGTCTTGCCAAGTCGCCCAGTTGGGTCTCGAACCCGTGGGCTCAAGCAGTCCACTCACCTTGGCCTCCCAAAGTGCTGGGATTACAGGCTGAGCCACTGAGTCTGGCCTATTTTTATTTTTAAAGGAAGGTTGATAATGATTTCTATGTAACTCTACCAATTTTAAACTTACCAACAGTATAAAGGATTTTTTTTCATCACATCCTTATCAACAGTTATCTCTCTTCTGGTTGATATTAGCCATCCTAACAGATGTGTGATAACATATTATCATTATGTTGATTTGAAATTGCCTCTATTGGTGACATTGAGTGCTGTGTCAAATGCCTGTTGACAATTTGTATGTTCTCATTGATTAAATAACTATTCAGTTTGGGGCTATTTTTTAGTCAGGTGATTTTCATTTTCTTGTTTTTGCCTTTGATTTGTGTAATTTTTTTGTATTTTGCATATTAACATCTCATCGGGTATATGGTTTGAAGGTATTTTCTTTTGTCCTGTAAGCCTTCTTCCTTTTCTCTACCATGCAGGTTTTTAGTTTGATGTTTGCAACTTATTTATATTTGCTTTTGTTCCTGTAGTCATAAAAAAAGATTACTAAGACCAATATTATCAAGTATGTTTTCCAAATCCTTGTTAAGGCTTTGTTTTATTTTGTGAGTCATGGTCTCTGTCACCCAGGTGGGAGTGTGGTGGCTCTAGTAAGGCTCACTACAGCCTTGAGCTCCTTGGCTCAGGTGATCACTCCACCTCACCTCCTCAGTACTGGGATTACAGATTGGTGTCTCCATGCCCAGCTATTTTTTTTATTTTTTATTTTTAGACACAAAGTCTTGGCATACTGTATATCCTAGGCTGATTGTAAACTGCTGGGCTCAAGTGCTGGGATTACAGACATAAGCAACCATATCCAGCTGATACTGTCTTTTTATGTTAACATTAGCCCACAAGATTTATCCTTACATAACACATGTCAAGATTTCTGTTTTTAAGGGTGCCACATTTCCCCTGTCCATTCATTCTTTTGAAGACATTTAGGTTGCTTCCAGCTTTTGTCTTTTGTCAATAATGCTGCCATAAACATGGATGTACACATATCTTCTTCAGGTTCTGCTTTGTATCTTTGGATAGACACCCACAAGAGAGATTGCTGGTCACAGGATAATATATTTTTTTCATTCTTTAGGAAATGCTTTTACTTCACTGATTTTTTTCCTATCATTACAACTTTTTTTTAAGTTTGAGTAGTTCATTTTGTATTTTTTATTGTTGCTTATTCTTTTTAGTGTCATCTTACAAAGCATTGTTATGGCCAGTGTCATAACATTCATCTTACATTTGGTTCTAATAACCTCATAGTTTTTGCATTCATGCATTTAATCATTTTGGATAGCTTTTTGCATATGATTCAAGAGCCCATCTTTATTTGTTTCTTTTTTGGATAGCCAGTTTTCCAATCTAAATCTAAATGCAAGGATTTATTTCTCTCCTGTCTATTTTTCAGTGTAATTTTCTGCCTTATAACAGCACTAAACTGTTTCAATTACTGTAGCATTTTCATGAACCTTAGAGGTTTGATGTGAGTTTTAAGGATTCTTGTTTTGTATCTCTGGAAGAAATAACTTGAGGAATTTGGTAAGGATTATGTTGAACGTGTCAATCACTTTGATTAGTATGCATATCTTTCCAGTCATGTGTTTACAACTCAGGAGGTTTCTTCTACAGTGCAGTCTCTCACAACTCTAGCTGAAACACAAATGCTGATGACTTTTTAGAACACTTACATGGGGTTGAAAGCTTGTACATGAAGGGACTGACTCTCCAGAAAGATAATTACAGGATATTTTTTCATTCCCTATATCTACTAACTGTAAAAGTTATAACTAATTTTGTGATGCTTTCTAGCATATTTAGTTTTCAATGAGAAGAACTTCCATTAACATTGTTTTGTGGGGGATGGCTAGTGATTAAATTTTTCAGTTTCTGCTCATTTTGAAAAGTTTTTTTTTTAATTTTGAATGACAGTTTTCCTCAACATGATATTCTGTTTGTAGCTTTGCTCTTTTAGCAAGTTTGCTGTATAACCCAAGTTCCTTCTGGCCTGCAACATTCCTACTGAAAAGTCTACTGATAATGTCATAGGAGCATCATTGCACATAATGCATCAATGTTTTTCTCTTTCTTATAAGCATTCGTTCTTGTCTATGTCTTTTGAATCTTATTATTTTTAGTCAAAAGTCTCAATCTGTCATCCAGATTAGAGTGCAGTGGCACACTCAGAGCTACTGTAGCCATGACCTGCTGAGCTCAGGGAAGCCCTGTCCCTCAACCTTCTAAGTAGTCAGGAATACCGGTGTGTGGCACCACTGCTAGCTAATCTTTTTATTTTTTTTAAATACAAGGTTTCAGCATGTTTGTGAGGATTGTCTCAAACTCCTCACTCAGAAAGTTCTTTGATCTTGGCCTCCCAAAGTGCTTGGCCTTAGTTGTAAGCCACCATATTTACCCCAAAACTTTGAAGTAAGTTGTCTGACTGTATGTTTGTGTTTATGCTAGTTTGAGTTCAACTTGTTGATTTTCCTATTTTTCTTCATTGCATTTGGAAATTTCTCAGACTTTTTTTGTAATTTTCAACTCCTCAAATTCTTATTTTTAATAGTTTTTTAATCTCTTTGTTGATTATCTTTCCTCATTTTGTTTGGTTATCTGTATTCTTTATAGCTTATTAAGTCTCATTAAGTTGGTTGTTTTGAATTCTTTGTCAGTGCCTGTGTATGTCTTCTGTGTATGTTGACATATGAGCATCTATATTTTGGTGATCCCTGTAGATGGGAAGAATGGGATAAACCTTTTCACTGTTATTCCAAATTTTCACAACATCAGAGAATTTATACTCTAAATTTTTAATATCTGTAATGACTGTAAAATCCTATGTCAAGATACAAACTATACAGAGTTGTTAAGAAATTTATAGATGTAAAGAGTACCATTATCTTTCCTTAAGCCACAGATCTTTTGAATGTACAAATGTAAAACACGTATAAAGGTTTTAATCAGTGAAAACTTTATTTGGCATTAGACTGAGCATTGGAGACAATCTACAAATTTAAAGAATGTGGACTGATTTTTGTTGGGGTTGAATTCTGTATTTATCTTGTTATTGTACCCTTAATAAGTCCATTATTTTGATTCTTTGTATGCTTTGGGATACTTTGTTGGAATTTGGGTATTTGTCATAACGTGTATGAAGTTGTTTTGTCTAGATATTACGGTACCAACACTAAGTTAGAGATTCTGGGAGCCTCTCATACCTGTTCTCAGGATGTGTCTTCTCCGGCATTATGCATGTACTCTTCTAGTTAAATAGTTTGGCCTTCTGAAGGGCTCATTTGTTATTTGCTATATCTGTGGTCTTTCATTGGTACTTCAGTCTTTCTGATACTATAAGAATAATTTTCCTTTAGTCTCAACAGTTCCAACCTATTATCCAAAGTATACCACCATGTTTTTCAGCACTCTGTAAATTGAGAGAGAAACCAGCCTTTGGGAAAATGCCCAAAAGGTAGAAGTGTGGCCTCATGCTCCACTCTCCTGATTATTCTCTGAGGAAGAAATCAAGAGTTAGAAGTTTTCATCTGATTGCATCATGCTGTATTGTGAAGGAATAGAGTTTATGGTGGCAAAATTATTAAACTTCCTCTTCCTTGTAACTCTTTTTAACATTGGGGTCACTGGGAATTCTGAAATGTCTTACCTGTTTTTGAGTTCTCAAAAAGGCATTGTGGTAAATATTTTCTTAAGGATATATATATATATCCTTCATATATATGTATACATGAAGGAGTGGAAACCTGTGATTTTTTACTTGCCATCATGCTTATGTCCTAAACATGGTATAATATTATGTTTGATTTTTAAAAGATATTCACCCGAGTCTAGTATGTGAAATGAATTTTTATTTTCATGATTTTCAGCTGTGACTTCTCATTGCACTGAGAGCATTTTGCCAGAGAAGATCATAGAAGACATATTTACAAAGATGCCATTGGAAAGACATGAAAGATTTGGCCTTAAGAACTTACACTTAAAAAATTCTTGGGAAAGCCTGCATGAGGGGGAAGGGCAGATAGGATGTTCTATTGTAAATAACCATTACAAATGTAACAAGTGTGGGAAAGTCTTTCAACAACACTCCAAATTAGTTATCCACCAGAGTATCCATATATCTGAAATGTCTTCCAAACTTGAATATGGCAAAATGTTTAACCAGTCCTCAAAATGTAGTAAACATAAAAGAATTAGTGAAGGAAATGTACACAATATAGGTGGGACAGTGTTTAGAAAATCATCTTATCTAAATAGACATGAAAGAATCCATAGTGGAGAAAGAACCTTCAAAAGTAAAAAAAGCAACAAAGTCCTTAGCTATTACTCATGCCATTCCAAACATTGGAAAACTCTTACTGGAGAGAATCTCTATAAATGTGAAGAATGTCATAAAGACTTTACTTGGTATTCACATCTTATTCACCATCAGAGAATCCATACTGCACATGAACCCTGCAAATGTCAAGTCTGTGACAAAGCATTTCTACAGTACTCACATCTTATTCAACATCAAAGATACCATACTGGAGAGAAACCCTACAAATGTGATGAATGTGGCAAAGCCTTTCACTCTCGTTCAGACCTTACTCGACATACTATGATCCATACTGGAAAGAAACCCTACAAATGTGAAGAATGTGGCAAAGCCTTTCGTTGGCATTCAGGTCTTGTTCGACATCAGAGTGTACATACTGGAGAGAAACCCAACAAATGTGAAGAATGTGGCAAAGCCTTTCACTGGCACTCAGGCCTTATTCAACATCAGAGTGTACATACTGTAGAGAAACCCTACAAATGTGAAGAATGTGGGAAAGCCTTTCGCTCTCCCAAAGAATTTGCTGGACACATGACCATTCATACTGAAGAGAAACCCTACAAATGTGAAGAATGTGGCAAAGCCTTTCATTGGTACTCAAAGTTAGTTCAACATCAGAGAATCCATACTGGAGAGAAACCCTACAAATGTGAAGAATGTAGCAAAGCTTTTACTCGGTACTCAAGTCTTATTGAACATCAGAGAATTCATAGTGGAGAGAAACCCTATAAATGTGAAGAATGTGGTAAAGCTTTTCGCTCTCATAAAGGATTTACTGGACATAAGACCATTCATACTGGAGAGATACCCTACAAGTGTGAAGAATGTGGCAAAGCCTTTCACTCTTATAAAGGATTTACTATACATATGAGGATCCATACTGGAGAGAAACCCTATAAGTGTGAGGAATGTGGCAAAGCCTTCCACTCTCTTAAAAGATTTGTTGGACATAAGACCATTCATACTGGAGAGAAACCCTACAAATGTCAAGAATGTGGCAAAGCCTTTCGCTCTCACAATGGATTTGCTATACATATGTGGATCCATAGTGGAGAGAAATCCTACAAATGTGAAGAATGTGACAAAGCCTTTAACTCTCAAAGTATTTGCTGAACATAAGACCATTCATACTGGAGAGAAACCCTACAAATGTCAAGAATGTGGCAAAGCCTTTCACTCTCACAGTGGATTTGCTGGACACATGATCATCCATTTGGAAAGAAACTCTACAAATGTGAAAAAAATGGCAAATCCTGTTGCTCTCGTATACAACTTGCTGGACATGTGAAAATCCACACTGAGAAGAAACTGTATAATGAGAGGAATGTGATAAAGCCTTTAGTTCTCATTCAATACTTCGTTGACATATGAGCATCTATATTTTGATAAACCCTGTAGATGGGAAGAATGAGATAAATCTTTTCACTGTTATTCCAAGTTTTCCCAACATCAGAGAATTTATACTCTCAATTTTCAGTATCTGTAATGATTATACAATGCTCCATCAAGATATAAACCAGCCAGGCTTGGTGGGCTCAGCCTGTAATCCTGCGCCTTGGGAGGCTGAAGTGAGTGGATTGCCTGAGCTGTGGGTTCAAGACTTGCCTGGGCAACTTGGTGAGACCTCATCTCTACAATAAATCAAAAAGTTAGCCAGGCGTGGTAGTGCATGCCTGTAGTTCCAGCTACTTGGAAGGCTGAAGCTGGAAGGATCGCCAGAGCCCAGCAGGTCGAGGCTGCGGTGCCCGGGAGCGGCCACTGCACTCCAGTCTGGGTGACAGAGTGAAACTCCAACTCAAAAAAAAAAAAAAAAAAAAGACATAAACTATACAGACATGTTGAGAAATTTACAAATGTAAAGAATACCATTATCCTGACTTAAACCACAGATCTTTTGAATGTACAAATGTAAAAAGGTCTAAAGTCTTTAATCAGTGAAAACTATTTGGCATTAGACTGAGCATTGGAGACAATTTACAAATTTAAAGAATATAGACTGATTTTTGTTCAAAAATATATGCCATTGGGAACATCAGAGTATTCAGACTGAAAACTTTACAGATGCAATTTATATGGAAACTTTTAAAATGAAAAGTCAACTTGAAATAAACATCAAGCCGGGCTTGGTGGCTCAGCATGTAATCCCACACTTTGGGAGGCTGAGATGAGTGGATTGCCTGAGCCCGCAGGTTCAAGACCCGCCTGGGCAACTTGGTGAGATCTCATCTCTACAATAAATCAAAAATCAGCCGGGTGTGGTATCATGCGCCTGTAGTTCCAGCTACTTGGAAGGCTGAGGCAGAAGGATCGCCGTAGCCCAGCAGGGCAAGGCTGCAGTAGCCGGGAGTGGCCACAGCACTCCAGTCTGAGTGACAGAGTGAGACTCCAACTAAAAAAAAAAAAAGAAAAACAGATATTGAATGCCATTACAAGATTTTTTTTTTTCAAGAAAGCATTTAGAGTCTCACTCTGTCACCCATACTGGAGTGCAGTGGCACACTCTTGGCCACTGCAGCCTCGACCTGCTGGGCTCCGGCGATCCTTCTGCCTCAGCCTTCCTGCTTAAATGTGCATTTTATTATTCTTGTTCTACATGGAGTGGATGGAGTATCCAGATTGAACCTTAATAGTACATGTTTCCATCCTTCACTAGGATCTGAAGATCCACCTATCTCCAATAAGAACCTTGGGTACCCCTGCCTTTCCATGTTTCCCCTTGTCCCTTCTCAAAGTCTTTCCTCCCAGGCCCTCCAGGAACCGCACACCACAAGCCCTGACTGGGACTTAGAGCTTCCTTTAACCTTAGGAAGGAGAGAGGGATGGGGCCAGGACCACAGCCCCTCCTCCCATGGGTCGGATTCCCCCCCGCATGACCCTCCCCTGTCCCACACATCCGGAGAGTGTGATTGCCTGTCTCCGGTTTTGTCCCCATCTGGGTGATGAGAATTTCCCCAGATAGGCTCGCAGGACAGTGGTAAAGTGTTTTCCCCTCTCTTCTTTCTTTTCCTCCTTACTAATATATATTTCTATATCTGAATAAAGCTGTTTAATTTTCTTCTGCTGGTGTGTGGCAGTGTTCTTTGCTGATCGAGCCCAATTAATATTAGGCCATGCATGGCAAAGAATAAGATGCCTTGCTGTCACAAATTGGCATACTAGGCAGGATTCACAGAGCCACCTAAACATGCCTTTTTTTGCTAAGAAATCTGATGTTAAATGTACAACTTGTGATATTCCTGGCTGGGAGGATGTGCGTTTTTCTAGTTTGACCAGGGAATGAGCGAAGTGCACTGGACTAAGTGAAAACTGGAATACACCTTTACAAGCCGCTGAGCTGCCATGGGTAACTGAAATATTACAGACTGTCCTGTTGGGAAAAGGGAAGGAACTGCAGGTAGTGGGGCGACAGGGGTGGATTTTGTTACACGCATACTGTCAGATATGTCTTAGTAAGCATGCTCTGATAGAGGAAAAATGTAACTTGGGAAAGGAAAATGCAGAACTACAGAGTAAGCTTGCTATGTTACAGTGTCAGAATTATATCTTAGGAGACCAAGCTCAAACCTATCCGACAGTGGCCAAAAAAACTACCATCAGCTGTGCTCAATTTAAGAAAAGGAAGCCGGGCTCGGTGGCTCAGCCTGTAATCCTGTGCCTTTGGGAGGCTGAGGTGAGTGGATGGCCTGAGCCCGCGGGTTCGAGACCCGCCTGGGCAGCGAGACCTCATCTCTACAATAAAATCAAAAAATCAGTCAGGCATGGTAGCACGCGCCTGTAATTCTGGCTACTCGGAAGGCTGAGGCGGAAGGATCGCCGGAGCCCAGCAGGTCGAGGCTGTGGTGGCCGGGAGTGGCCACTGCACTCCAATCTGGGCGACAGAGTGAGACTCCGACTCAAAAAAAAAGAAAAGGAAAGGGAAAGTTAACAAGAGGAAAGTACATGCTGTTATTTCATGTGGTACCCAGATAATTGGGATGGAGATACCTGGGATGATACAGATGATGAGGTAGACTGGAATGGCTTAGAGGATGAGGCAGCTAAATATGATCAGGAGAAATATCCTCCTAGTGCTGCTACAGCCTATAACTAGAATCTGGGCCGGATTCAGAGCAAGTAAATTACAAAATGGTGACTGAAGATTTCTCTCAACAAGAAATTAATGATTTTTTGCAGCAATTTCCCCTAAAACCAGGGGAACCCTTGATTGTGGGGATGGTAAGAATAGCTAATGCTGGGGCAGGAAGAATGTTAGTGGACCCCAAGATTGTGTGCGTTTTGTCACCTTAAGCACTAATTCCTTTGTGCAAAATGCTATTAGAGACTACCAGCAGGAGAATGGGACTACTAATCTGCTGGCTTTAGCTGCTAAGGGGTGTTTACAGCAGTATCCCACTGACACCATGTGGCCTCAGCTGAGTCACCCATGGTTTACATTAAGAGATGGGATCCAAAAATTAAAAAAGAAAACTGCAATCATGTTGGGAGTGGCTGATACTTACCACTCTCTAGATGTGGCTGTTCCACATGAGAATACTTTGGTGAGGACTGCTTCCCCAGCATATAAGCATTTGATGATGACTTTACTTCTTGCTGAGATGGGCCAACCTCTTAATGAAGTTTTAGAAAAGATGGCACAGCTAGGAGACATGGGAGAATGGGAATCTGGACGGAATGTCAGAAAAGGGACTCAGCCCAACAATTATAATAGTAGTAACAATAGAATTTCCAGGAAAGAGATGTTTCAGTCTCTGATATGGGCTGGGGTTTCCAGGGGAAAAATGGATAACTTACCTACAAAGGACCTGTGGCAAACAAAGACAAGGTGAAACTGGCTAATAGTGTGGAAGTGAAGGGAAAAATGAAATCGGAACCCATAGCTCTGCCGTCGGTGTCTAATGAAGAATTATATCCTTTTTCTGATTTGTTGCAACTGAAATAGGTTGAAGACCAAGCTCCTGATCCCCTAGAAGTCAAGGAAATTAGAAGGAGGAATTATCACCCATATGTCCCCCTGACAATCTATTGGAAAAATGCTGTTACTACTATAGCTAATGCCCTGGTGGATACAGAAGCAGAGGCCTCTTTAATATATGGGAACCCAGATAAATTTAAGAAGAAAATACCATTAACAATTTCTGGATTAGGGGAGAGGGAAATACAGGCTCGACACATTACATGACAATTAAAGATTGGGAACCTCCCAAAAAGGGAGTATTCTGTAGTGGTTGTGCCAATTCCCTAATATATTATAGGAATAGACTTATTACAGGGATTGACTTTAAATCTAACAGATGGAAATTACAAATTTGGTGTTTGACTTCTACAAATAAGTAATGTAATAGTAGGAAAACTGCATATTGCTCCTATTCTTTTGCCCACCCCATCTAAAGTGATTAATTGTAAGCAGTATTGGAACCCTGGAGGTCATAAAGAAATTGAGGAAACTACAAAAGAATATGTGGATGCTGGGGTAATGGTAACTACTACTACTGAATGGGATAATCCAATATGGCCTGTTAAAAATCAGATGGTAGCTGGAGAATGACTGTGGACTACAGGGAATTAAATAAGGTGACTCCCCCACTAACTGCTGCAGTTCCTGATACAGTAACTTTAATAGAGAAGATTCAAACCTATAAAGAACAATGGTATGCAGTTATAGATCTAGCTAATGCTTTCTTTACAATTCCTATTGTCTCACAGCAGTGCAATCAGTTTGCTTTTACCTGGCAAGGCAGACAATACACCTTTACCTGGTTGCCTCAAGGATATAAACATAGCCCTACTATATGTCACAAATTAGTGGCAGAACACCTACATTTCTGTTTTATTCCCATGGATATACAAATTGTCCATTATCTTGATGATATTTTAATACAGGGGCATACCTTGGAACAGGTATATGATGGGTTAGAGCATATAATGATATGTTTGCAGGAAAAAGGTTGGAAAATCAACCCAGTCAAAATACAAGGTCCAAGTCAGAATGTAAAATTTTTAGGAATCAGTTGGAATGAGGGGTGTAGGATTATCCTCTCCAAAGGAAAGCAGAAGATTTTGGACTTTGCAGTGCCAAGAGTAAAAAGGAAGCACAGAAATTCATTGGACTGTTC